TGTTGACAGGCCTAGATGTCAATTTTAAACTTGTAATTGAGCTAAAAGTTATGGTAATATATTCAATTTATTTTACTATAAACTTTCATAAATCTTTATCAAAAATTTTTCATCAACTTTAAAGAACCAAAAAAATAGGTTAAAATTGAAAATTTGGACTGATTATTTTTAACATATTAAAAATCAAATCAGTAATAATTTGAAAACAAATTTTTTTTTCTTTTAATTATTATTTTATATATATAATTAGTAATAATATAAAAAATTAGAAGTGATAGAAATAGTCTACTTGCAGATTTGAAAACAACGCGAAAATTTGATTTAGAAAAGTATATTTTTGCTTCTGATGAAAGTTCCTTGTAGTCCAGTGCATTTTTTTATAGTAACAAACAGTTTTTATTGAAAATTATTGTATCAAGCCCTTTAAATTTTTATACACGTAAAAGTAAAGCAAAATATAACTTCTTTATTATTTTTATAATTTCTCCGTTTAAATTACAATATTAAATATCAATTTCATACTAAATTTAATAATTATAATTAGTATATATTCATATATTATATTTTAAAATCAAAGAACTACTAATCATGATATAATTAAAGAAATAAGAGTTGATGTTGCTTTTGGAATAATCCACCAATTGCCTAATTAAAACAAAAAAAAAAAAAGTTTGTTGGGAATTTTTTCTGCTATTCTGCAAAATTACTCCTTCGTTGACTAGAATGAATCATTAAATAGAAAATTTTATGAGAATTAAAACAATGTTATTTTTAAGATTAATATGCAGTCAGAAAGTTTTATAATTATTATTTATTGTAAATTTATCAGAAAAACTCATTATTTTTTGCATTTTTATCGTAATAGAACACTTAAATAGAAATCATAGTAATCATTTCTAAGTAATTTTTGATATTTAAAAAGATTCTACTATTGAAATATCCAGAACTGAATTAATTTTAATGATTTACTTTAACTAAAAAAAAAAAAGTTAATATTTTGAATCCCTCTTGTGGGCAGGTAAAGGGTTAGATTTATAAAAAAAACCAAATGATAGATAAAGACATGCATCTAAATAAAAAAAAATATACTGATTTGGTCATTTTTGATAAAGTTATAACAATTAACAAAGTTATAAGTTTTATACACTGGACTACAAGGAACTTCCATCAGAAACAAAAATATACTATTCTAAATCAACTTTTCGCGATGTTTTAAAATGTGCAATTAGACTTTTTCTATAACTTCTAAGTTTTAATATTATTAAAAAATAGTTTTTACATATAAAAAAAAATAATTAAGAACAAAAAAAATTGTTTTAAATTAATACTGATTTGATATAATATTTAATATTAATTTGATTATTAATAAGTTAAAAATAAGGAAAATGACATATTTAACCTATTTTGTTAATCGTTTAAAGTTGATTGTTGTAAATGTTTATAATAAAAAAAAAAAATTTATTTTACCATAACTTTTAGCTCAATTGGTAAGTTTGACATTGACATAATTAAATAGAAAATTTTATGACAATTAAAAAAATTGTATCGTTAAGATCAATATGCAGTCAGAAAGTTTTATAATTACTATTTATTGTAAATTTATCAGAAAAGCTCAATATTTTTTTGCATTTTTATGGTAATAGATAACTTAAATAGAAGTAATAGTAATAATTTCCTAGGAACTTTTGTTGTTTGTTGAAAAGATTCTATAATTGAAATATTGAGAACTTAATTAATTTTAATGATTTACTTTAACTAAATGTACCAATCAAAACAAAGTTGTTAAAAAGATTTACTCAATTGAGTGTATTATAAAATTTGATTATATTTGTAAAAATCAATTGTTAATTCAGGAGAAAAAACAATCATTTTTTTTAGAAATGATTTATATAGCAACATGTTACAAAAAAAAATTGTAATATTATAGTCTAGTAGTAGCACACACAAATAGAGTAAAAAAATTATTAAATTACAAAGTAAAATGATTTAATTTTGTAGTTGAAACCTATCATATCAAACTTCATTCGTTAATAAATATTTTGAAAACATTAGAAATTAATGATTTTAATTGTCTTTATGGAGACGATGTAATAACTAACTGTTTAATTGATAAATTAGAATTTTTTTTTCAATTTTTGAGAGTAATATCTTCAACTAGATACGAATTGTAGTAATTTGACGTATTGTTGAAAAAAGTAGGTCAAGTTAGAGCAGAGAAAATAAATGATAGTCACAAAAAAATATCTTCTCGGCTTTGCATCGAAGCGAAAACTTAAAATATAGTAAAATAATTTTAATACGAATAAGAAATTTCTTCTTGCAAGGGGCGACTAAAGTGATGGGATCCTTGATCTTTATTGAAGTTATTGAATCTAAATGTGATAAAAATCAAACGAGTTAAAATTTATACTAACTTAAAAAGAATTAAGAAAAAATGCAAAAAATTCATTGCCATATGCGGGTTGGAACCTCGTACCCCAAGCGTGTAAAACATAAATTTTACCAACTCGGCAACCGTACGTTGCTTCCGGCGGTTGAAAAATTGGCTATTTAAGCTAGTTCAAATTTCAAAGTTATTTTTCTCGACTTAAAAGAAACAAACATATTTAAATAAGTTTAACTATCTATACTATATCAATTTTAATTTATATAATATTTATGAAAATCTGTACTCCCCTTGTCAGGTATTTTAAAATAAAATAAAATACAAAACCCAGAATTTTAACACAAAAATAGCATATTTTTGCATACGGTAGTCATTTTCACCATGAAGACAAGTCCAGAGGACAAATTTTTTTTTTTCAAATTAAAGTATATTACATAAGCTTTAATTTAAGATATATTTAAAAGTGTCAGTATTTCCGGAATACTTTCAAAAATTAAATTGAAAATATCGTAGTAACAATACGCATGTTTAAAGTTTTGACCCCCCTTGTTAAAGGGGTATGATCCGATTTACAAAAAAAGCGTGCCAGATGAAAGGGGTATATCAATATTTATTATAAAAAAATAATAATATAGATCCATACATTTTTCCAAAAGTTATATAAAATATAAATTAAATAATATAACATATAAAATCGAGATTTTTTTCACGGAAATCGTACGTTTTTCTTTAACTTTGATGTCCGTTTTCACCACGAAGACAAGTCCAGAGGTCAAATTTTTTTTTTTCAAATTAAAGTATATTACATAAGCTTTAATTTAAGATATATATAAAAGTGTCAGTCTTTCCGGAACATTTTCAAAAGTTAAGTTGAAAAAGTTCTACTTTCTACATGCATTTTTTAGATTTGAACCTCCCTCGTATATAGGGAAATGGTCCGATTTAAAAAAACAGTATGTCGAATGAAAGATGTATATAAATACTACTCCCCGTGAAAAAATTGTACTGATCCATAGATTTTTCAAAAAGTTATAGCACAATAAAGTTAAAAATGTAAAATACAAAATCGAACATTTTCACACAAAAATAGCATTTGGTAGCCATTTTCACCGTGAAGACAAAATGAAGTCTGAATTTTTTTTTTTGCATAATAAAGTATATTACATAAGCTTTAATTTAAGATATATATAAAAGTGTCAGTCTTTCCGGAACATTTTCAAAAGTTAAGTTGAAAAAGTTCATTTTTTGTAAAAAAGTTATCATTTTGAAACCCTTCCTGTGGGCTGTTAAAGGGTCAAATGTTCACAAAAATATATAAAATGATAGGTAAATATCTAAGGTATCTATAAAAAAAAAATTATATTGATTCGGTCATTTTTAAAAAAGTTATGCAATTTTAAGTAAAAAAAAATGAAAAAATATCGAAAATTAGTGATTTTTAAATTTGTAATTTTTTTGGGGATATCCCCCGTTTACGAGGAACGAGAGAACTTTTTTCAATTTTTAAGGGTAATGTCTTCGACTAAATACGATTTGTGATTTTTTGACATATTGTTCATCAAAATCGGTCCAGCGAGAGCTGAGATTGAGCGTTCACAGACACAAAAAAAAAAAAAAAACATCTTAGTAAAATTAATACCTTCTCAGCCTCGCATCGAAGCTAAAAAAATTGTTCCGAAGACGTATCTTCTATGTGCAAATGTTTGCCGTAGTTAAAAACATGCAATTTTGGTGTTGAAATTTACGATTTCAGATTTTATTTTTTCAACTTTAAATTACTATAATTTTTCGAAAAATGTATGGATCAATACAATTATTTTTTCATAAATATTTTATGTTTACTTCTTTTATTTGATATACATTCTTTGAAAATCTGACTTTTGGCCTGACCATAGGAGGAATTTAAAAATAACAATTTTTACACATAAGTTAAACTTTTTCAATTCAATTTTTGAAAATTTTACGGAAATATTCACACTTTTATTTAATCTTAAATTAAAGCTTGTATAATATACTATACTATGAAAAAATATGTCGAGATATAGTGAACATTGTTATGAAACCATGATCACAAAAATATCATAAAACCAATTGACATAGAACATAAATGTAAACTTATTTCAATTTTTTTTCTCATAAGTCAAAAAATTAATTTTAACATTTGAATCAGCTTAAATTGCCAACTTTATCAAAAAACGTATATTACGAACGTTTGGCGATTCAGTAAATATTATTGCTTGTGGCAATGATTTTTTTGTAATTTTTCATTAATTCTTTTCGAGTTAGAATTTTACTTTTGAATAATCCATCGATTTCTTAAAATTAAACACTATCTACAGATTTGCATCGAAGCGTTTCTTATGAAAAAGATTTTAATCACTGTCAAATATCATCTATACTATAAATTAAGTAGTCCCAACTACTTAATTTTGAATTAAGTGAGTTGCTCTAAAATTTTTTAAAGGGATATATCTATTTTTTATAAGCATAAATAGTAAATATATTAAATATTGAAATTTAATATTTTTAAATATTTTATAGACGAAAGGTTAGGTTTGCTATCAAATTTTAACAAATTAAGATAAAATAGCAGATTATAAATTTTACCGCCAAAGTGATATCAGGTTCACATGTTGTATATAAATTATAAAAAATAAATATAATTTATTATTAATATTAAATTTTTTATGTATATGTGTATTATTATAGTATTTTATATATATTTATAATTAACAATGGCATCGAAAAAAAAGGTAGAAAAATAGATATAATTCTATTTTATAATTTATGTTATGATTTAGAAACTATTTTTTTTTAGGAAGGCATAATTATTGTTCTTGATGTAGGAAAAAACGCATTACAATTAAATTCTAATGGAAAATCATATTTTGAGCAGTCTTTACATTGTGTTTCAATGTTAATTCAAAGAAAGGTATTATAATTTACTAAGAGATTATATTAAACTTAAATGATATATAATATTATTTTTTTTTAAATTAACATTTATTTAAACTTATTATAAACTTAAAACTTGTATAATTGATTTAAAACTTAAAATGATTATAGAAGTTAGTGTTTGTTAATCAAATTTGAAGTAACTTTTTTGTGATATGAATGGTTTGTAAAATATATTGGTATTAATGAAATAAAATTATAAAATCTTAAAAAAAGTATTATTTTTTATTTTAACAAAATATTGAATTGTTGATACCTTCTTTGTAGAAAATTTTAAATAAAAAAAGTTAAGTTCTATTCAAATTGAACTTTAGAGTAACATTTTTCAAGATGAATATAAAAAACTAGAAATCAACATCTTTGATCTAGTTATTTACCCTCTTGCAGCACATATCAAAGTTGATTAATTATAATAAAACTGTATAGGTCTTATTTGTTTTTCTTATTCAAATAATATAGACGGGTGTAACTTACAACTTTTTCAAAGTCATTTTCTAGAATAACCTAAATACAGAGTGATAATTAAAAAAAAAATATGTGATCTTATTGGATGTATATGTTGTAACTAAATGAGTAAAGATAATACCTTTATAAGCCTTTAATGTATAATAAATGATTTTTAAAAAGTGTACATACATATAAAACAAAAAAATCTTAGCATAGCTTTTATTTTGTTAGTAATAGAGTAGATTTAGATATATGAGTCTCCTCATATGTTTGGAATATGAAAATAATTACTACCTTAAAATATAATACTAATTTTTTAGCTCTCACAGAACTGATTTCTTTCAATGATATGTCAAAAGATCATAAGTTGTATTTAGTTAAAGACATTATCCACAAAAATTGAAAAAAAAATCCCCCCAGAAAATTGGTAATTTTTTATATTTTTTTAAACAATTCTTTTCCTAAAACTGTCATAACTTTTTGAAAAATGAAGAAATCAACGTAATTTTTTTTTTATAAATGCCTTAAATATTTACCTACCATTTGGTTATTTTTTGTAAATCTGACCCTGTCCACAAATTTTTATAAATGACAATTTTTCCACAACAAATTAATATGAATAATAATGACACCTTTATATTTACCTTAAATTAAAGTTTATGTAATATATTTTATTTTTATCTGTCCCTAAAAATTCTCTGCTCTCACTGGACCAATTTTAATGATTAATATGTCAAAAGAATACAATTTTAATCTAGTTGAATTCACAGTCACTAAATATTGGTAAAAATCCTTAATTTTAGAAATTTAGACAAGTATCTACTGTAAAAAAATTCAGTATCAACAAAAACTTTTTTTAATTGAATATCTCCATTAATAATAAGAGTATAAAAATTGTTTTTATTCTAAATTACACAGAAAAATCATATAATTAAAATGAAACATTTTTTAATCAGCATAGACCAAAATTTACTTGCTAAATGACGATTTTGCACTGATTTCAAATTTACATATGATTTATCCATGGCCTCTTATTTTGAGATTATTACTACTTTAATATACTAATAGAATATTACATTGATAAATTGATTTTAATTATTACTATGTTAAAAATAATCCGTGCAAAATTTTTGATTCAAAATGTCACATTTAACCTATTTTTGTGGACCTTTAAAGTTGATTTTAATGAAATTTTATTATTTAAATTGTTGAACTTTTAACCTTTTTCTTTAGTTCAACTTGCAAGTTTGAAATTAATATTATTAAATAGAAAACTTTATCATGATTTAAGAAATGGTTTTGTTTAAATTTATATAATTTCTTTTAACAGTATATTTTTGAAAAAAGCCCAAAATTTCATTGATATCACTCCTTATATTTTAGCTTTGATGCGAAGCTGAGAAGGTATTAGTTTTACTATAATATGTTTTTTTTTTCTCAGCTCATACCAAACTGATTTCTTTCAATGATATGTCAAAAGATCACAAATCGTATCTAGTCGAAGACATTACCCACAACAATTTTAAAATTTCCCTCGTTCCCCGTAAATGGGGGAAATATCCAAAAAAATTACAAATTTAAAAATTGGTAAATTTTGTCATTTTTTTCACTTTTTTTTCTTAAAACTTCCATAACTTTTTTAAAAATAAACAAATCAATATAATTTTTTTTTATACAAAAATTTTAGATATTTCCCTTTCATTTGATATCATTTTTTTGAAAATCTAACACTTAACCTGCTCATTGGGGGGGATTTAAAATAGCAACTTTTTTACAAAAACTAACTTTTTCAATTTTTTTTACTTAAAATTGCCATAACTTTTTTAAAAATAATCAAATCAATATAATTTTTTTATATAGATGCATAATATCATTATCTTTCATTTGGTATATTTTTTTTTATATCTGACCCTTTACCTGCTCACAGGGAGGATTTAAATGACAACTTTTTCAACCTAACTTTTGAAAGTGTTCCGGAAAATTTGACACTTTTTTATATATACCTTAAATTAAAGCTAATGTAATGTATTTTATTATGGAAAAATAAAATTTCAGACTTTATTTTGTCTTTATGGTGAAAATTTTATATATATTTATTATATTTTTAACTTATTGATTAACTGTCAGATATCATTATACTTGATCCATCTATGTCACATCCCCACTGTGCTGGGTTTTTTATTTATTTTGTAATAAATGATTTCCTAGAAATTATTTCTATGTAACTCTTAGTGTTTAAATAGATGTTATAATTGAAAAATTCAGAACTATATTCCCTATAGCTATATCCTGTATTATTTTAATATAATATACCGATATGTAGAAATATTCCGCGTCTAGTTCCTCCACTGGTTGTTAAACTTCATTTAACCTAAATTTTTTGTTTTATTTTTTATATATTAATATTTGTTTTCAACTAACTAGTAACAATATCAAAAGTTAGTATGATAAAAAAAATCTAGTTGCAGATTTGAAATCAGTACAAAAAATTAGTCAAAAAAAGTTTATTTTTGACTATGATGAAAATTCCTTGCTTACCATTTATTCATAATTAACAACAAATTATTTTCTGAAAATTTTTGCACGAGCAGTTAAATGTTTATACAGTTTGCCATAAAAGTAATCAAATTTATAACTACTTTATTATTTTTTGTAGTTTCTCCATAAAAATTACAACATTTAATTATTAGATATAAATTTTATACTATATTTTATTGCATTAATAAATATTTATTGTTATATTAAACTTATAAATCATAAAACTTGTTATCCAGGTTATAAATAAGGAAATAGGATTTGATTTGATTTTTGAATAATTCACCAATTTCTTAAAATTAAACACTATCTATATTTTTGCATTGAAGCATTTCTTATGATAGTGATCTTAATCATTGTCAGATGTCATCTACATTTATCTCAACTATGCCACATCCATACTGTGCCACCGTCTTTTTAAATTAAATATATAAATTTTGTTGTTTTTAATTTTTTACTGTATTTTTCTAGTTGCTTCTTGAGAGCAAAGATGAATTAGCATTGATATTATTTGGATCTTCTAATACAAATAACCCATTGGCATTAGAAGGACCTGGTTACCAAAATATTGAAGTTGTTACAAACTTAGGTTTAGCAACTTGGGACTTAGCAAAATTTGTTACTAATATAACTCCTACAAATATCACACCTTCTGATTGGCTCAGTGCTCTTATTTTAGCTACTCATTTACTAAAAAATGAATCTGAGTAAGTTTTATTCTATTTTAAATATTTATTTCTACAGTTATATAAATAATTATTTTACTATTAATTTATGTAAAATTATAAAAGATTAGTTGTCAATAGTTTTTATTAAAATGCTAATTCATAGTAGAGACTTAATTTTCCATTTTACTGTAATTTTTTTCAGAAATAAAATCTATTCTGATCTTCAAATAGTTATTTTTTCTAATTTTATGGCTGATATCTTACCAGACAAAATAGATGTTATAGTTAAGTGCATTAACTACTTGGAAATCAAATTATCTTTGTTGTAAGTTCTGAATAAATATTAGTGAATATATCAGCCTAAATCTCAAAATGTTTAAAATTACTAATATTAAGAGGATCAAAAAGCCTTTAAAATTTTTTTAAGTATTAAAATTCTAGCATTTTTATTTACAAAAATGTGTGATATGATTCTATAATGTGTTTCAAATTATTTATTTTAATTAAAATTAAAAAAAAAATAATCAAAAAATGTAAATTTATAACCTTTTCAATTTAGGCAAATATATTTACAGAGTGGTTCTTCATATTTTGACAATTTTATTAACTTTTGATCAAGTCAATATTTTGGATTTTTTTAAATAATTTTTATACATTGGTATTAAAAGTTTTAAAATAAATTACAGTTTTTTATTTATTAAAAAAAAATATATTTCTTTTATATTGAATAAAAATTTTCAAAATGGCCATTTTGTTAAATAGATTTTAAGAAAAAGCTTGGCAAAAAAATATCTTATAATGTTCAATAGTAAATTATTTGTAAAATTTTAAACTTTGAATTCGAATTTTTCATATATTTTTTATACCAAACATTGAAATATGTATTGAAATAAACCAGAAGAAAACAAAATCTTATTACACTAAATAATAGTTATAGTTATGTAATTATAATATACAACTTTTTCCTTGAAAATTGTATACGCTTGAATGTGCATCTGCTATTTTATTTAAAATTTTAAGTAGTACACAATATTAAGTTACAAGTATTTTAATACATTGAGTGGATAGATATTTTTAGAACATAAGAAATTATTAACTTCTGTAAAAAATATACTATTTTTTATATTTCTAAAGAAATTGTAAAAGTCAAAATTAAATATCATAAATATAGCTAATATAAATCACATGAAAATATATGCAGATAGTGATTTTTTTTATTGTAAACCACTTATGTAATTAAAAAAAAAAATTTTAATATTTTTTTTTTTGAAATTTTAGTTTTATATTCTTTTTAATTTGTCAATCATTAAGTACTTTTTAAGCCTATCCCTTATTTTTTGTACAAGTGCAAACTTTATTTTCTTAAATGGGAACATACATTATTAATTACTTTTATTATATAATAATGATCTAATTCTGGAAATGAATAGTTGATAACCACTCTTGGAAAAGTAATTTAGAAGTTATTAATATTTTTATTTCTAAGTGGAAGGAAGAGTAAGGCTGAGAAATGTCTAATAATGAAAATTGCATCATCTACCCTCACCTCCAGTTAATACTTAAAATTGCTAATGACTTTTAAAATATGGGTCAAAACATTATTATTGACCAGTCATTTTTTTAAATAGATTATTTTATGTATTATAAGCTAGTTTTTTTATTAGACAATATTAAAACATGCTTTTAACATAGTTTAAAAATGTAAGAATTGTGTTAAAAAAATTATGGAGAAATGATTATTGGATCAAAAGTTATTGGATTTGTCATATATTTGTGACTCTCCTGTATTAAATGTTTTTTTTATTTTAGAGGCAAAGATTACACTGACATTGTTAATAAGAATCAATTATTAGAAAAATTTATTGAAGAAACTGATGTAAGTAAATTTGTAATAAAATCCATTATTAAACTCCAAACTAATCAATTTTAAATTAAATATTTACGGTGAAGAAATTAGGATAAATTTTTTATATTTATTAAAAATATGTGTGTTAACTATATAATTAAATTTGGATTTGTATTAGTAAAATTTATTTGGTTCAATTCCAAGATACACTTATCCTTCCTGATGAACAAATAAAATCTTCCAGAAAAAAAAAAATTATATTAATGGGATTGAAATTATAGTTATTTAATTCAATATTTTAGTTAATGGATAAATTTTTGTTTTTTAGAGGAACGTATACAGGGTGTTCAGTAAGTCAGGAAACGGGTATCTATTGTTCTCATTGTTACAAACAATGAGAACAATAGAAACCCGTTTCCTGACTTACTGAACACCCTGTATAGGGTTAGTACATCTTATACTGGTGTAAATTTAACTACATATTCCTGCACTTCATACTCAATGTATTGTATGTTTGTAACTCAATAAGTAATTTTCCTAAAATTATTATTAATCCATATATCAATAGGCCTAAAACACCATTATTTTAATATTTAAAAAAATTTTTTTTTTTTGAGTGCAATAAAAGAAACAATATAATCAAAATATTATCTAACCTAGAATAGAATGCTAGTTAGATCTATACTATTCTGTATAAATCTAATAAAATGTTTACAGATTAGAGGCATATATCTTAACTTTTGATACACATATGACCACAATTCAAATTCTTATATAAATGGACACTCATAGTCTGATATTAAAAAAGAAGACAATTCTCTAAGGTCCTTCAAAAATTAAGTAATGGATATTTTTTATTTGTAATAATAATTTAGATGTAAATGAGCAAAAACTAATTGTAGGGGACCCCTTAAAACATCTGTTCCAAAAGCCTCAACATTTTTTAACTTGACCATAATCACTTATCAAAGTCTGAAATTGTAATTAATATGTTTCAAAAACATTAATAATTTTGATATATTTTAGGCTCAAGCTGCCAATTTAGAAGTAGCAGTTAATCAGTTAAGTTATTATAAGCATAAAGATGTTGTTCCAAGAGCTTGGACAGTAGCTTTGAGTTTTGGAAGTATATTCAGTATAAAAGTTTCTGGTTTTAAAAAGGTATTTAACTTTAATAATTTTGCTTAAAACAAAAAAAAAACAGTGGGGTCATGGCATAGTTGGGTCCAGTATAGATGATATCTGACAGTGATTAAAATCACTATCATAAAAATAATATTGTAGCGACCAAAACATACGCAACGAATATTCTCGAATGTTCTCGTTATCAAAAACCTTCGAGAAACTTCGATAACGCCATAAGATAACCTACGCGGGTATAGAATATTCTAGAATTAGCGAGAGCCTTATCGGAGCTATATATATATCGGAAGAATCAGTCAGTTCAGTTAGTTCAGTTCAGACTGTCTAGTCCGCGATACGCTACACGACCGCTACACCCCGCCGCTGTTGTCATCGTGTATTATGTTTACTTCGATTATTTTATTTTTCCTTACTGTATATACATATATTTTCTTTTAGTGTTTATACGTCTATTTTAGTGTTATAATTTTGTTTAATAAAAGTCTACCGCCATTTAAATAATTGTGTGTTGTAAGATATAACCCACAATATATAATAATAGTATAATTGATCCAACTATGCCACGTCATCACTGTGCCGCGACTCCCCTGTGCTAGGTTTTTTTTTTTTGGTAGGGGCTGTCATTTATTTTCTCAGGTCTCACTTATATTTTAAAAGTATTTACATTTGAATTAGGTTTGATGTGATAATAGGTTTCAACTTCAAAATTAAATAATTTTACTTTGTAGTTTATTAATTTTTTAACTTTATTTGTGTGTGTTACAACCAGTCATTAATATTTCACATTTATTGGTAACATGTTGCTATATAAATCATTTCTAAAAATAATAATTAATAGTTTCTCCTGAATTAAAAATGGATTTTTACAATTATAATGAAATTTTATAATACACAGATAATTTTAACAACTTTTTTTTGATTGGTTTTTTTAGTTAAAGTAAATTATTAAAATTAATTCAGTTCTGCATGTTTCAATTGTAGAATCTTTCTAGAAATCTAAAAAAAGTACATAGTTTCTAGAGAAACTACGTACTATAAATTGTTTTAGAAATTTCTAGATATTAATTTTAATTTATTGAAATATTAATTTTATTTATGTAGGTTGATGAGACCCCTAAAACAAATAAATGGCTATTATGTAGTAAACTAGATAAGCCTGAGGCTATTACTCCAATAAAAACTGAAACATCTTACTATTATGTTAAAAATGGTATAAAAATAGAAGTGAACAAATTTAATTTAATTGATGCTTTTCGTTTTGGTGATACAATTATACCAGTAACTGGTAAGTTTTTTTATAAAAATTTTTTTCTTTTTTAAAAACTTGGTAATATTACAATTATAATAACAATTCATTTTTATGTAAAATTGTTTCCTATTTCATATTTTGTTGCAAAAAAGATATATATGTATAAATCTGGCTTTAACTAAAAAACATTCAATGGCCTTTGTTGCTGTAGCCTTTATCTTAATATAAAACAATTTAACTAAAAAATATATTGATTCGTAAAATGTTTACATCATGAAATAAAAATTTTAACAATGGAAATTGCTTGAAGATTTAACAATAACATTGTTACTTGAAGATTATTGACATGTATATTATATACAATTAATAAAGTACATTTTAAGTATAGCCTTTATGAATGACTTGGAAAATGTGGTGTCTTTGTACTATTATTTGTACTATATTTCTTTAGTCAAAAATTTTATTCTATTTTAGTAATACTCCCAAATAAATTTAGAAGTTATTAATTAAATATCAATATGATAAAAATATCTTAATATACTTTTAGCTTCGATGCGAAGCTGAGAAGGTATTAATTTTACCATAATGTGTTTTTTTTTTTTTTTATGTCTGTTGCCACTTTTTCTCAGCTCTCACTGGACCGATTTCTTTCAACAATATGTCAAAAGATCACAAATCGTATCTAGTTGAAGACATTACCCTTAAAAATTGAAAAATTTCCCCTTGTTCCTCGCAAATGAGGGAAATATCTAAAAAAAATTACAAATTTAAAAATTGGTAAATTTTGTCATTTTTTTCACTTTTTTTCTTAAAACTTCCATAACTTTTTCAAAAATAAACAAATCAACATAATTTTTTTTTATAATAAAACCTTAGATATTTCCCTTTCATTTGATTTCATTTTTTTGAAAATCTAACACTTAACCTTCTCATTGGAGAGATTTAAAATATCAACTTTTTTACAAAAACTAACTTTTTCAACTTAATTTTTAAAATGTTCCGGAAATACTGCGTCCTTTAAACATATATCAAATTAAAGTTTATTTTATGTACTATAAAATGAAAAAAAAAAATTTGTCCCGACGACCTATCTTCTATGTGTAAATGGCTACCGTATTCAAAAATATGCTATTTTCTATTAAAATTCTAGGTTTTGTATTTTATTTTATTTTAAAATATCTTATTAGGAGAATATATTGATTTTCATGAATATTATATAATTTAATTGACATAGAATAAAGTTCATAAAACATAAGAAATTAAACTTATTAAATTTTTTTTACTTTTTTAAAGTCGAAAAAGTAATTTATAAATTTGAGTTAGCTTAAATAGCCAATTTTTTAGCTTCGATGCGAATTTTTTATACAAAAATACTAATTTTTAATAATATTAAAACTTAGAAGTGATAGAAAAGGTCTAATTGCAGATTATAAAACATCTCGAAAAGTTGATATAGAATGGTATATTTTTGTTACTGATGAAATTTCCTTGTAATTCAGTGCTATTATTTATAATAACAAACAGTTTTTATTGAAATTTATTGTATCAAGCCCTTTAAATTTTTATACACGTAAAAATAAAGCAA